AGGCACCAATCCTTGGCCCAATGCGAGTTCGCTTCGTCGCATGCGCGATGGTAACTGCGGGGCTACCGTGTCTGTTGCTGCCTTCCCACCCTCGTTTCGTGCCCCCCTCTCCTCGCCATCGCTCGGACGTCCATTCCCCGTGCATGTTTCGATTTCGTGCGTGTATTGCTTCGGAAGACGATCCAAACTGCTCTTCGATGGTCCCCGCCAACAAGAATTCACACGTCCAAGAGATGCCAAGTCTCTCTCCCTGCCCCGCTGCTGCTCGCCTCCGCATCTCCCGCTCTGCCTCCGCCTCTCCCGCTCTGCCTCCCTTTTCCCTCACCGCCCGGGGGGGGGGGGGCCGAAGTTCATTGTGCCACGCGACCCTCCCGAGGCAAGACGAAGCCGTGACGAGGATCAGATCGGGTGAGGATAAATCGAAAACCCCTGAGGTCCGGCGGCTCTGGAGGATGTCTCGGGCGCCGCGGTCTTCTCAGAGCGTTCCAGCACGCTCTGGAACGGCTTTGTCCTCGTCCTAGCTACGTCCGACGAGGTCTGGGTCAGGGGCACTTCGCCCGCAGACTCGTGGAGGCTTCAACGATTTTCATGGCCACCTGACGTTGCGAGCGCCAGCCTGCTGCTATCCTGGGCCAAATCTCATCGGCTCTGGAACCTTGACTGCGCTGGCTTTGGTCCCTCTTGCGGGGCAAGTAGTCAATTCCGCCAGCTTCCGTTAACCTGCCGCTGGCCTCCGATGGCCGCCCTCATTTCCCTCCCGCCCGCTTAGCTCCTCGAGCGCGGGGCCCTCGCGGGCGCAGCACAAGGAGTTGCCTCCACTGGGGGGGACGATCCTAAATATCGTCGGCGGAAATATTTCGGCCACCCGGGATTCCCGAAGATTACCACCACCACCGAGATCGGGATCATCTTCGCTCGGCGGAGGAAGGCACATCACCGGCACGAGGGAAACGAACAATGACATTAACATAACAACTTCCATGCCCGCGCAGATTTCTCGGATCGGAGCTGGAGGCGCCGCCAGAGGGGCCTGGCGCCGAACCAAGAAATCCGCGCGGAACTCCGATGTTTTATGTTTACGTTGTCGTTTGTTCCCCGAGATGCTGGTGCTGATGCTGACCTCCAGGCCTCCGACGGACGCCCGCACGCGGCCGCAAGCGGACCAGCGGCGGTCGAGCGACGACGGGGCGCGCTGTGGCAACGAGGCACGAGGGAAGAGGAGCGCGAGGCGCGAGGCGGCCGACTCCAACAGGCGCGTTTTCTTGGGTAAGTCGCTGCTGGAAGAGACAGATCTTGGCACAGTCGAAACTGATGGTAAGGATGCGTGATAAGGATGCAAGCTTCTTTGACGCCCATGTCGGAGAGTAGCTCTTACCCGTAAGCGCGGTACCAGACTAAAGTACCAGACTGAAGTACCAGACTGAAGTACCAGACTGAAGTACCAGACTGAAGTACCAGACTAAAGTACCAGACTAAAATACCAAACTAATCATACTAAAGTACCAGGCGAATGTCCCAGACTAAAGTACCTTAGTCTGGTACTTTAGTCTGATTAGTCTGGTACCTTAGTCTGGTACTTTAGTCTGATTAGTCTGGTACACTAGTCTGGGACCTTAGTTTGGTTCTTTAGTCTGATTAGTGTGGTACATTCGTCTGGTTAGTCTGGTACACTAGTCTGGTACATTCGTCTGATTAGTCTGGTACATTAGTCTGGTACTTTAGTCTGGTGCTCGAGCCTGATTAGTCTGGTACACTAGTCTGGTACACCAGTCTGGCAATTTGGTCTGGCACTTTAGTCTGGCACTTTAGTCTGGCACTTTAGTCTGGTACTGTAGTCTGGTAAGTTAGTCTGATACCGTAAGCGCTGTACCCGAGTAATCTACCAGACTGACGCACCATACGAATGCACCATACTAACGTGCCGTTAGTGTGGTGCCATTAGTCTGGTGTGTATAGCCTGGTACGTTAATCTAATATTTTAGTTTGGTACATTAGTCTGGTACCGTTAGTCTGGTGCCATAGTCTGGTGCCATTCGTCTAACGCCAATAATATGGTTCTTTCGTCTGGTACTGCTAGGCTGGTACCGCTATTCTAGTGCCACCGGTCTGGTGCCAGTAATCTGGTGCCATTAGTGTGGTACACTAATCTGGTACACTCGTCTTGTACATTAGTCTGGCACATGAGTCTGGTACAGCAGTCTGGAAACATAGTCTGGCACGCTAGTGTGGTACATCAATGTGGTAAACGAGTCTGGAATTTTAGTAGGGTGCACCAATATGATACATTGGTCTGGCACTTTAGTCTGGTACCGCTGGTCGGGTGCCGTGAGTCTGGTGCCATGAGTCTGGTGCCGTTAGCCTGGTGCCATTAGCCTGGTGTCATTTCTGGTACACATTCTCTGGTATTTTAATATTGTACATTAGTCTGGTACCGCCAGTCTGGTGCCATTAGTCTGGTGCCATGAGTCTGGAGCCATTAGTATGGTGCATTAATATGGTACCGCTAGCCTGGTGCCATTAGTCTGGCAATACAGCCCTCGGGCAACCGCGAGATGCCCCCGAGATGGCCCCCAGAGGGACCTGGAACAGCCCAAAAGAATTCCAAGACGCCTCTATCGCGCCCCATCAGGTCCCCATCGTCTGAGACTTTAGTGTGATTAGTCTGGTGCATTAGTCTGGTACATCAGTCTGCTATTTTAGTCTGGTATTTTAGTTTGATTAGTCTGGCACGTTCGTCTGCAACTTTAGTCTGGCACTTTAGTCTGATTATTATGGTACTGTAGTCTGGTAAGTTAAACTGGTTAGTCTGGTACATGAGTCTGCTACATTCGGTAGTCTGTTTAGTCTGGGACTTTAGTCTGGTACTTTAGTGTGGTTAGTCTGGTGTTTTAGTCTGGTTAGTCTGGTACTGTAGTCTGGTTAGTATGGTACTTGAGTCTGGAACGTTAGTCTCGTACTTTAGTCTGGTTAGTTAGTCTGGTACTGTAATCTGGCACTTCAGTCTGGTACTTTAGTCTGGCATTTTAGTCTGGTACTTTGGTCTGGTACTTTAGTATGGTACTTCAGTGTGGTACCACGCTTACGGATAAGAACCCACCGCTAACGGTTAAGACCTCCCTTCCCCATATCGAAGCTTTTCGAGCGGGGCTGGCCATCGCAAGTGCTTAATGATGGACAGAAGAAGCAAGGATGCAAGGGTATCCTTGGGCAGAAAAAAACCAAATAACGGCATAGACATAAACTCTTGACGAACCGCGCGGATTTCTTGGACCTGAGCTAGACCACCCCTCCCTGGCGTGCGGAGCGCGCCAGGGGCGGCGCCAGAGGCGGCGCCAGGGGGGCCGAGCGCGCAGATCCAAGAAAGCCGCGCGGAACGCCGAAAATTTATCTTGATGCCGTTTTTTCTCTTCGATTTGGGCAGTTGTCCATCCTTATCATCGATGTCGACTGTAGCACCGGCCGCGAACGGGCGGGCGCGCACGAGGGGGCAGGGGGAGGGGGGAAGACTTCTTAGAAAGAGGCTGCTGCTTAGAAGACGCCGGCCTTGCATCTGCAGACAAGGCTCGCGCCTTCTAAGAAGCAGGGGTGTTTCTAAGAAGCCTTCCCCCGTCCCCCTACCCCTCTCTGTGCGTGGCCGAGAGGGTACCGCAGGAAAGGAGAACATCCTTCAAGAACATGAGACCCTCTGGTGGCCCAAACTAAAAAACATTCAAGGGTGCCCTCCCCCAGGATGCACAAGAGCATCCTAGAAACACGAACAACATGACTGTCGGACCTAGGACATCATAACATCCTTCAAGAACACGAGACCCCCCGCCAGCCCAAACAGAAGAACATTCGAGGATGCCCTCCCACAGGATGCACAAGAGCATCCAGCAAACACGAAGACCATGAGGGCATCCTCCCCGAATCGACCTCGACCTTGTGCCTCGGTCCGACCGCAGGGCACCCTCCCAGTCACCGACCTCGACCTGGCACCCCGGTCCGACCGCAGGGCACCCTCCACGAAGCGACCCTGATCTTTTCCCCTCGGTCCGACCGTGCCCTCGGGGCGGCTGCCCCTCCTCATCACCGACGTCGACGGGAGCAGTGGCCGCGCACGGGCAGCGGCGCGCAAAGGGCGCAGGCAGCGAGAGAGGGGCGGCCTCTCCCCCCTCCCTGGAGGAGGCCCTCCGCCTCGGGGAGGGGCGCGGGGGCCTTCTGGCTTTCGGGAGGGGCGGGCCCCCTCCAGGAGGCCGAACTCCCTGCTTAGAGCTAAGACAACTAACAGGCGGAGGAAATTTACTTCACTCCAAGCGTTTTCTCAACCGGTGGCCCAGATTCACATGTACGAGCAGTCTGCGAAGAAAGAGGCTCCAAGAGAACACCCAGGGTCAACTCAATAATCTTGTTCCCCACATGTCTCGTGGGGTTTGGGTTTTCTTCTCGCCGCGTCCCGCCCACGAGGAACACACCTCACCTACTTGGGGCAAACAAAACATGCCTAGATACAGGTGCAGCCTCACACCCCTCACCCTCCTCCTTTTCGCTCGTCGTCACACAGCCGCACACACACACACACACGTGCACACACGTCAAACAGATAATCCCGCACAACACATGACACACACAACATACTTGGATATAGGTACAACTGTCGGACTCGCAGGTCGTGGAATACGTGGCATGGTCGCAGGGCGCGGCAAAAGTGGCACTTCCTCGACACCACACCGCAGGGGATGCTCAGGGGGTGGGCTCGCTATGCGCGCCAGGGTCCCAGGGCGTGGCACGTGTGGCACATTCTCCACGCCGCACGGGGGGCGTAGGGGGTGGGGTCGCTATGCGTGCCAGGGTCCCAGGGTGTGGCAAGCGTGGCACGTTCTCCACACCGCAGAGGGGTGCGCAGGGGCTGGAGTTGCTATGCGTGCCAGGGTCCCACGGCGTGGCAGGCGTGGCACATTCTCCACACCGCAAGGGGTGCGCAGGGGGTGGGGTCGCTATGCGCGCCAGGGTACCAGGGCGTGGCAGGTTTGGCACATTCTCCGCACCGTGGCGTTCTCTCCACCAACGAACGGGGTTCTGGAGGAATGCCCCCTTTTGCCGGGCTGGGTCTAGTCCCGAGCCCTCGACTCTATCACGGGTTGCTGTAGCAGGGGCGTCCGCACACATGTCACGGGCAAGGGCCTGTGTCCCAACGTGAACCGGCCCCAGCTGGCTCGAAGGCAACAAAGGTTGCCTCGCTGTCCGCGCCTAGCATCATGCCGCCCAAGCGTGTCATTGACGCACTGCCGCCTCCGCGTTTGCAGCTGAAGAATTCTATGACTCCCATAAGCGACGAAATTTGAAAAGACAATTTGCGCAAGTGCGAAGCACATCTAATGAAACGCGCGTTTAATGCTTACCATCGACAGCTCAAGAATGAGTGGCTGGATACATCACTCCTGGCACACTCTTGTGAAACCGATTGCGCAGGAAAAACAACGACACCATAATCCGAATCTTCAAGGGTAACCCCCCCTGGAAAATAACAGCGAAGTCTCGGTCTAACCGGTAAGCCCCCGCCTACGAAATTTTGCCAATGGCCGAAACTCGATAGACTGACCGCACAGTCCATCTGGCCAACGAACTCAAACCAATTAACAAACCGAAAAGCCGACAAAACGTAAACTAAGAAACAGATGTCTTCTGAAAAAGTAAGCATACCTTTGCGATGCAGGGGCAATGTTTTCAAACACAACAAATGTGGTATGGAAACTAAGATTTCGCGCTCCGATCCACTCTGCTTTTGTTTCAACGCGCGCGAACATTAATTCCCAACCATCCTGTGGTGTTGGGTCCTCGTTTTGAGAGTTTCACCCACCCAGCAGCGTTTCGGCCCCATAGGGAGCTCCACCGAAGGCCCCAGTGGGGGTGTTCGCATGCGGTTCCCCCACCCAGGGCAGCGTTTCGTGGCCCCATAGGGAGCTCCACCGAAGGCCCCAGTGGGGGTGTTCGCATGCGGTTCCCCCACCCAGGGCAGCGTTTCGTGGCCCCATAGGGAGCTCCACCGAAGGCCCCAGTGGGGGTGTTCGCATGCGGTTCCCCCACCCAGGGCAGCGTTTCGTAGCCCCATAGGGAGCTCCACCGAAGGCCCCAGTGGGGGTGTTCGCATGCGGTTCCCCCACCCAGGGCAGCGTTTCGTGGCCCCATAGGGAGCTCCACCGAAGGCCCCAGTGGGGGTGTTCGCATGCGGTTCTCCCCACCGCATGCGGCAGCGTTTCGTGGCCCCATAGGGAGCTCCACCGAAGGCCCCAGTGGGGGTGTTCGCATGCGGTTCCCCCACCCAGGGCAGCGTTTCGTAGCCCCATAGGGAGCTCCACCGAAGGCCCCAGTGGGGGTGTTCGCATGCGGTTCCCCCACCCAGGGCAGCGTTTCGTGGCCCCATAGGGAGCTCCACCGAAGGCCCCAGTGGGGGTGTTCGCAGTTCCCCCACCCAGGGCAGCGTTTCGTGCCCCATTCCACCGCATCGCATGGTTCCCCCAGCGTTTCGTGGCCCCATAGGGAGCTCCACCGAAGGCCCCAGTGGGGGTTGCGGTCCCCCACCCAGGGCAGCGTTTCGTAGCCCCATAGGGAGCTCCACCGAAGGCCCCAGTGGGGGTGTTCGCATGCGGTTCCCCCACCCAGGGCAGCGTTTCGTGGCCCCATAGGGAGCTCCACCGAAGGCCCCAGTGGGGGTGTTCGCATGCGGTTCCCCCACCCAGGGCAGCGTTTCGTAGCCCCATAGGGAGCTCCACCGAAGGCCCCAGTGGGGGTGTTCGCATGCGGTTCCCCCACCCAGGGCAGCGTTTCGTGGCCCCATAGGGAGCTCCACCGAAGGCCCCAGTGGGGGTGTTCGCATGCGGTTCCCCCACCCAG